TTTTGCTTGATTCTTCCTCTTCTGCTTCTCCTCCTCCATCTCCTTCAATTTTGGACCAAGCCAATGAAGCGCATTGCCGAGTCCCAATTCAAATAGGGCAGGCAGACGGACGGAGTGAACGGCGTTAGAGAATGGACAATGGAGAGCGGGAGGGGCCGAGGGAGTGCACGTTATGCATAGATAAAGGCAATGCCAGAACGAGCTGAAGTCGCACTTGACAGAGGACTGACAGAAAAAAGAGCAGTTATCTAGGCTAACAGACGACTAAATACTCTTCGATCAAATATTTTGCAATTGTCAAGGTTAACCGTAAAGTTTGTTTGATAGCTTTAAGCAGAGATAAGTTGAAGGTTAGTTTTAGGTAAATTTAAGGTGCAGGTTAGCTCTGAAACTATAGTTCTTCGTCTCTCTATATTTCATAGAAGTAAACTTGATAGAAGTAAGCCGCAATTTTAAAATTGTAATCTGACCTGTTTCAGATGTTCAGCCTCAAAATTTGAATTTATAGAGCTTGAGTTTAGTGTACATGTCTTAAAAAGATATGATATGATGATATGAGTTGGTGTCATAGCTTTACATATAAGATTTGATATTACATAGCCTATAGAACATGTATAGGTATATGTAAATCTCTAGTGCGATATCATAGAATCATACCAAACTGTCAGTCAATCATATATCCTATGCAGTTCCTAGTCTCCTTTAGTCCCCTCAAGACATCAGGCTACCCCTAGTAAGAGCATTTAAAGAAATCGTTCAATAAGCTTTTCTCACTTGCATTGGCAAGGAGTTTGTTTTTTTTTTCGTTCTTTTTTTTGGGTGCAACTTTTGTGACTCTTCGATGCAGTCAGCCATATTTGGCATTCCGTTTTGGGCATTTGTCGGGCTACACAATTTGCTGCTCAATTGTCTTGGTAACAACTACCTCGGAGCAGAGCCTGCTGCTCTGCTCGGGCATCTGTCTCTGTTCGCTCTTCAGTCTAGCTCGTTGTGTGCCATAATTCAATTGATTCTTGGCAACATTATGTATATACAAAATGCTCATCATGTTTATCGCTGGCAATAACCATCTATTCCAAGAGTCATCCACCTGCAGCAGCAGCAGCACACACACACCCACACACACATACACGTGTGTATATACTTTTATATATCTTTCGCTGTAAGCCTTTTTCAATGGCTTGCACTTGAGCCTGGGGACAAATGAGCTCTACATTATTACGTTTTATGTCAAGTGCTTGCCATCATTGACGTCATCGCAGCTCAACGCTCACGTTTCCCTCCCAGCTTCCAGCTTCCAGCTCCCAGCTTCTAGCTCGAGGCTCCTTATGCCTTTCGCGTTTTCACTGCACCTACACTTAATCCCCAAATTCCTCGTATTGCACTCGTTGTCGTTGCGCCATATGCTCAATTTGTGTGTTTGCTCCGATTCCAATTTAATTGGATTAATTTTTGTGCTTTGTCAGTTCTCATCTTAATTTGTGCTTACAAGCAGAAAACACATAATTGATTTTATATTAAAATGAAAAATCTGTGTAAGGAAATACTTATGATTTATAATATATTAAAGAGATTTAAAAAATAAATAATAATAGCTAAGGTATGTGAGTGTTTAATATTTTGTGGAGGAGCGCTGAAAGGATATCACAAATATGTGCTTTAAATTGAAACTTAAAGCAATTTTTGATTCAACATTAAAGCTGAATGGCCAATGATGATTAAAACTTCAGTTATAGAAATTGACTAAAGGAAGTTGGATAAAGAAAGCCTTATGGCACTCGACTTTTGATAGTCTACTTTTGATATCCTCATTACAGCATTCCCTCTTTAAGATTCGCCTCATATTGTTCGTCTTATGGTGTTTCACTTTTGATGTTCGCTTTACGAAACTCGTCTTTGTTTTAGAGACCAATATTTTTGCCGCAATAACCGTATGAACGTTATAAGCGCAGTCGCTATAAACGGATATGTAGTTGCTTAGGTATTGGTCTTCCTATAAAAGCCGGTTGCTTCTGCAATTATGTGATTCATAAAAAGGAAATATTCTAGATTTGCGTATACTGTAGATAGATAGATAGATAGAATCTAGATATAAAATAGAAGAGCTCTTGCTCTTGTGATTTTCAAGTTATGTCAGAAAAAAAGTTTATAAATCGAATTTTAATAATATTTTGGAAATCATATTTTAGCCATACGAATTTGTATTAAGTTTAGCATGAGATTAGTCAGAAAAGTTGGCAAGAAGTAAGACTACGAAATTGTTGAATAAAAATTCAATTGGAAATCTTGAACCTTTGAATGCCTTGCCGAAATGGACTTGATCAAGTAAATATAGAGTAAATATACCCAATGTGTTTCAAGTAAGTTATTTTCCTAAACTCTTGGAAACACAATATACCCCATTTACAGAATGTCTTTTGAAACAGAGTATCGAAAACTCTCCTTTGCTTTCTTATGCAACTTCGTCTTTGACCCATAACTTTCGACCTTTGTAAACAATCGATGTATTTGCCTTGCCTGGCTGTCCATGCAAATATTATTCAATAATGATTCAAATTGTTTTCAATTAAAATTAATTATTTAGACATGGATATCAATTGGGTATTTGGAATATATTGGATCACGTCCTGATTGAGGCAGCAGCTGCAGAGGCTGCAATTTAATTGAACTAAAGGCTTTTCTCAAGTTTCAACTCGATTTTCGATTGCTGCCAAAAGATGGCGTGCCAATTTACATATTGTGGACTCTTGCGTGCGGTAAATAAAACATAAACAAATACAATAATTTTTGCCGTTGACCTTTTTGCGAACATTTTAATTAATAAACGCCAACGACAGAGCAGCAGCAACAGCAGCAAAAATGAAACTTTTCAAAGAGTTTCTCGATTGGCAACTGCCCGAATACACAAATGGCAAATAACAAAAGTATTGCAATGGGTTAATCAGGACAGGAGTGGGCGGGTCCGGCCGCAGGACGCCACAGAATGCCACAGGATGCCAGTCGACTGGACATTCGGTATCGGAATTCATAATTTGCATAAAGTCAATTGCAGTCGACGCCCACGCACGTTCGTTTGCCTTGTGCTCTAATAAATCAACAATGTGTGCGTGTGTGTGTGTGCGTATGTCCTGTGACCTTTTTGAGTATCGACAGCTCTGGTTGTGTGTGTATGTGTGTGCGGCAGAGGTTTTCTATGTTTACATTTGACTATGCAAACAGCATAAATGAATGTGTAGAAGACTTCTAAAAATTATTATTTGCTTTATTTATTATTCATTGAGTAATATTGTCTATCTGTGTGCGTGTGTGTGTGTGTGTTTGTAAAACCTTTATCATAACTGAAAACTTTTGAGGCTGGTTCCTTTTGTGCATGCTTTTTGAACAGCTTTAAAGGTCTTAGGAGCGCATCCAGCTCCAGTTTAATGAAAGCATCAAGTTCTTCTGCTGCTTCTTCTGACTATTATTTTTAGTAAGCATTTAATAACCGAAATAAATTTAATTTTGCTAAAAATATTTTGAAGCTTAAGGCTAAGCTTTGCTTACGCTTTTGATGCGGAATTTAAATTTATTTATTTCTATGATTTTTCGTCTCGCTTTCTCTTTGTTTCTCGTTGTTGTCGTTCGCTGGCACTTTTACGTTTATCTTCTTTATATTCTCTATCTCTGTTGTCTTTCCTTTTATATATTAATTAAATTTAATTTGCCCTTATTTTTTCATACCTCCCCTTATTACTCGTATTCAGTTAATTGTGTTAGATTTTACATTTACAATTATTATCTATATATCATCTTGTTACAATTCTTGTGTTCTCTATTTGCTTTACATTTACTCTTTCTGTTCTTCCTAAAACATTGTAGCCTTTCATTCTCATTCTCTCTTGCTTTGCTTGATGCTTGTACTGATATTTCTCAGCTTTCAGTCTACTTCCTACTCTCTATATCTTTGTCAATCCTTCCATTCTCATTTACACTTTTTTTTTAGATAAGGAGAAATCCTTCATTAGTATTTCTCATTCTGTTTCTCTCTCTACTTGTCCTAATATTATCTCTCTAATTATCCAATTATCATCTGTTCTCTGCCTATAGTTCTCACACTCTCTTCTTCTCACTCTTTTTGCCGCTTTCCATTTCTAAACTCATTCTTTATTCGCCTTTTGATATCTCTCTTTCTCTCTCTATCATTCTCTTCTACTGTATAGTACTCTCGCCCTACATTTTCCCTCATTCCTTCTCGTTCTTTTCTCTGTCACTCTTATAACTCATTCCTTCTTTGTCTAATGTTTTCTTACTCATGTGTATCACTCTCTCTCTTTCTCATTTGATTTAATGGTGCCCTATACTCAAACTACTCGGACTAGTCATGTATGCCCGCCATCCTTATTAATTTCGAGCTTGTCGTGGGAAATATTTACATTTGTTTTGTTTTGTCTCGATTTCTTTCATTTTTCAGGCTTCATTATAATAATTATTTCATAGCTCAGATTAGTGTAATTCAACACCAGTCTGACTGGAATTATTTTTAGTTTTTTCCAGTGATATTTATAATTTTTGTCAAATCAGTGTGGAGTTTCAATGGGCTGGAGTTGGGAGTGGGGTATGTTTAATTAAGCGGGCCGCCACGGAAATAGCACTTTAAGTGGGCAGTTTCTTCGACGCACTGGGGTGAGGATAGAGTCCGTTAAAATAGCTGGCAATTGGGACGTGACTGGGCTACCAAAATAATCCCTGGGCTGGGTTCTGGCGTGGTCTGGCCTGGCCATCCGCTTTGCGTGTGATTTAAAAATAATTAAACACGTACGGCGAATAACTGTAATTTTCATTCAGGCAACACGCGACGAGGGGCGGGGCAGAATCGAGGGGATGAGGATGGGAGTGGGGAGTGGGGATGGAAATTTAAAATTAACATTTTTATTTATTTGAAAAATAACGCTTGGCATCGGCTCATTGGGCATTGGGCATTGGGCACTGGGCAGTTGTTGCGTGCGCATTGAGCATTGAACATGTCCTGGCGAGTGTTCTGCCGCATGTCCTGGCTGTGGTGTTGGCTGTTGGCCGGATTGACGCTTTGCCACGCCGGCAGCGGCTCAAACATTCTGATGATTACCATGGGCGGCACGAAATCGCACAAAATACCCTTCTGGGCATTGGGACGAGCCCTTGTCAAGCGGTGAGTCTCTTCTTACGCTGCCATTGCCATTGGGGCAGTGCGTGGAGTCCGTGTTCCGTTCGATTCGGATCTGTTCTGTTGTGCTGAGTTGTGTAGCATAGTGTAGTATTGCTAATCCCTGCAGTGGCCATCGGATTACGTTTGTGAATGGCTTTCAAGCGGATTTCCATGTGGATGGACTGGAGGAGGTGACGCCGCAGCGACTCGTTCAATACATAGCCAACTATACGGACTGGGATTTGGTGGGCGCACGCTATTCGGGCCACGCCCCACTCTCAATGGCCGATGCGATGCGTTATCCAATTGAGGTAACTGCCGTGGCGCCACATCAAAGTGGAGTTACAGCAAAGACACGGATACACACATGCACACAGAGGCACACACATGCACACAGAGGCTAACACATGCACACCGCCATAGTAAACGGATAAGCAAGTGGGCGGGTATGATAGACTAGCAGGTACCATCACTTTGAAGTTGTACACTGAGTTTTTCCTTCCCTATTCTTCGATATAATTTCTCTTGATAGATTTAGAAGAAGACCTATTGCATCTAAGTTATTTTGCTGTTTCGAGAGAGGGTGTCTCAAAAAAGATTTTATATTTGTTTGTATATGCTATAGTAGCATGTGCAGACCAAATTTTGCGACTATCGCCCTTATAGTCTTTGAGTTATTCTTATGAAAAAAAGTTTCAAGAGTTTGAGTTTGATCGGGTTTTAAAAAGAAAAAAGTATTTCTATCCCTGAGCTACGCAAGAAATTAAATCTGGGTACAGCTATCCATAAGATCAACTTACAGAGCTATGCTTTAACTTGTCGAATATTTCGATAAATAGACAGATAGAAGGATGACCAGAAAGATGATACTGAATTGTTTAAGTACACATTCGTTCTGGGATAAATCAGAGACAGTTCTAAGCAGATTTTCGATATGCCTAGCCTCTACCGGCCCTGCACTCGCACCCACTCACTCTACCCACTTGAGCACCTGGGCACAGAGGGTATGATAAGCTTGTGGCTGACGTTTATTACTCAATGCTTGGCAGGCGTGCAACAGTTTGCTCAACGATCCTGCCACACAGCGTCTGCTGGGGAATGGAACGTGGCCTGGGCACGCCCAATACCAGTTGGCGATTGTGGACGGGGCATATCCGGAGTGCGCGCTGGGCATTGTGCATCGTTTAAATGTAACGGCATTCATCTACATCAATACGGTGGCCTTCTACACCGGAAGCGTCTCGTTGGCCGGCAATCCGGTTGCGTATGCTGTCACGCCTCACGTCTTTGGCACTTGGACACTGCCCATGGACTTCTTGCAGCGTGTGGCAAATTGTTTAACTCATGTTATTGCCGATTTGCTGCACTGGGTGAGTATCCAGTTCGGTTCGGTTCAGTCTATTCATGTTTACAGACAGCCGATTGGCCTACAACTCCCTCTCCCTGTCCCTCGCCCTATCTCTGTCCCTGACTGTCATGCATCTCTTTCTATCTTTCATTCTTTTGCTTGTCTTTTCGACTATGCCCCAGTGGCATGCACGCCGTCTAGCAAACGCATTAATCCTTGCCTTGATTTAAGACCAATTTTGTATGCTGCCTGCGTACACAGCTAAAAATTCAGTTATTCTTTCAAATTTCATTCCACATAACAGTTTCAATATAATATACCAGTATTACCTAATATTATTTATAGGCACATTTCAATTGTAATTATTGATTTCAAAACAGCCTTCACAATTTTACCGCTACTTATTCTCTCTTACTCTCTTCCATTTCAATAATTTATCAATTGAGCTTTGAAAGCACTCTCAGCACACTCAGCTTAATGGAACCAGGTTCAGATCCAGATATATATAAAATTTTATATACATTTAACAAAAATTATTTTTGTATCAATATTTTTTGGCTCCAAATTTTAAACTTAAATTTTTTTTTATATATCATTAAATAATAATAATTGCAAATTATTTATAAAAATTCAATTTTTCATTTGATTTTTTTATGTAAAATATTTTTTATTTATTTTTATTTAAAAATATAAATTAATTTGTAAATTTTTTTTCTTAAACATTTTTCACGATATGAAATAAATTTTATTTTGGTTTCTCTCTGTGTAGTTGGCACGTCAAGTGGCAACGAGCGTTGCTCGGAATCACCTGACCATGATTGGCTCCTGATTTATCATGCATCAGCCTGATTAAATGATGCTTAGTGGCCAGAGACTGTCTAGCTCTGCCTCTCTTTTCCGCTCTCTCCCGTTCTCTACCATCCCTTCTCCCTCTCCCCCTTTCCATCACTCTGAGTGTGTGGCTTGGACTAAGCCATTGCTGCCTTTCAGCTCTGCATGCAACGTGTGCATCGCCTGCTGCGCCATCATCTCGGCGAGGATGTGCCGCATCCCTATGTGCTGGGCCGTGACGTTTCGTTCATTTTGCAGAATTCACACCCGAGCGTGCGCTACCCGAGCGCCCACTTGCCCAATGTGGCGGAGGTGGCCTGCCTGCACTGCCGCCGCGCCGCTGTCAATCTTAGCCAGCTGGACGTTGAGCTGTCCGGGTTTATGGAGGCGGCGCCCGACGGCGTTATTTACCTCTCGATGGGCTCCTCGGTTCGTTCGGCACGGCTGCCGGCGAAGCTGTGCGAGCTGTTTGTCGCGGTCTTTGCGCGCCTGCCGCAGCAGCACGTGCTGTGGACGTGGGCGGGCAATGCCAGCGAGCAGCTGCCCCAGCTGCCGGCCAACGTGCTCGTCCGCCCCTGGCTGCCCCAGCAGGACATCCTGGGCCATCGGCGACTCCGTCTGTTCATCACACACGGCGGCCTGCTCAGCCAGCACGAGGCCGTCTTTCACGGCGTGCCGCTGCTTGTGCTGCCCGTTTTCTGCGACCACGACGCGAATGCCGCTCAGGCCCAGCGCCACGGCTACGCCAGGCAGCTGCAGCTGGCCCACCTGGACGAGGAGGCGCTCTACTGTGCCATCTACGATGTTCTGCATAATGATGGCTATCGGCGCGCCGTCAGGTATTACAGCTGCCATGTGAATCCCATCCAAGCGCATTTCCTTGTTCAAACAGCCTCCACTTACATTTTAGACAGCGGCGCGCTTTGATCCACGACCAGCTGGCCACGCCCGTGCGGCAGGCCGTCTACTGGACGGAGTATGTGATGCGGCACAAGGGCGCCAAGCATCTACAGCATCCGGGCAGGCATATGAGGTATTTGCCAACGGCTTCTCTTGTTGAATCTCTGACTAAATTAGGAATTGAGCATCAATTTCCTGTAGACTAAATATCATAGAGGGAATGTTTTATCTGGCAGTTTATAGCATAGAGTATATACTTCTATTGCAATTCATTTCCTACTTAATTGTGTAGGACTTGAGCTCTATTTCTGTGCAGATAGATATGGTTATAGATAGATAGACATTTTGGAAATATAAATAGGCTCAGCATTGAAATAGAATGGATAGATAATTATTGAAAACATGTGTAGATGTCATATAAGTATTATGTTTATGAGGTCTGACAAATGGTATACAGTATTAAACCTAAAATCTGAAAATGAGATAGATATTGTTCACTTTATCTACTATTGATAGAGTTTAGCTTAGTCAGAAAAAACAATATGTATATTTATCAGAATATGAATTTATCACTATACCCAAATATGTTTATATTTATGGAATGTATTTGGGCCATTCAGTAGTCAGCTTAACTAAAGATAGAACTTTCACATATACTTCGTATATATATAATAGAATATAGAATAAATATATATTTTGATATTCTATACATATATAGTGTAGATAGTTCATACAGCTTATATTAAATATATAGCTAACAATTTTTTGGTACACAAATTTAAATTAATAATTCCTATATATTTTGCAGTTTTTGTAGCTACCATTCCCTGGATGTGCTATGTCTGCTGGTCGTGATGCTGCTGCTGGTGGTGCAAGCATTGCGAAGGCTGCACAAGTATTTAGCTGGCAGCATTGAAGCTGAGAAGAGAAACAATGGAAAAAACAGCTTAAAAATTTAATGAGATCGACAATTTGGGCAGCGCGTAATTCCATTTCGATGTCGATGTCCTGCTGGGAAAGTTGCAGCTGAACTTGGAGCAGCAGGAGGAGTAGAAGTTGGCGCAGTAGTTGTGCCTGCAATTGTAGCTATCATCGCTGCATCGTTGTCATGTGCTTTTTATGACTTGTCAAAATTTTGCAGAATTGTCATTGTGCAATGAAATATAAATGTCAAGAGATTTTCGAAATTGTGTTTTGCTGTTTCCGCCAAAGCGAGTTGCCGTTGTGCATTGAGTCTTATGCAGCGGAAGCGGAAACGATAATGTTCCACAAAATAACAACAACATGCATGAGCATACATACATACACATAACTACATACACTCACACACACACTCACACATGCAGCCAGTGAGAGGAGTTTCCACTGAGTCGTTGACAGAGTCTTGCGGCCAGGCTGCACCCCGCGGCGAGTCGCCACAAACTGAAAGCGAGGCGAATGCCTGCATGACTGGCAGCTCACATGCTCATACACTTGGCGAAAACAAGCCACAGTTGTCTATTTCAATATAGCATCAGCAATCAGAGGGACTGAGCATGCATAATTTGTGAGTAGTTTCTGATGAAAACTGTCTTAATAGAACAGCATTTGAGGTAAAGTCGACAGGAATGCAAATTGTTCTAAGAAGAACCATTGTAAAGCTGCTCAGGGTCAAATGGCACGGCACGGCATGGCGAAAAGCAAAGCACCTATCTAAAATCTGTATAATGATCGACAAATATATTAATTTATTATAACCTCTATATATAATTTTGAATTTAATAATTGTCTTTGATTGATTGCAATTGAGCTATTAAATAAATACATAGTTAACGAACAAATAAAATATTAAATATTAATTTTTAAGCATAGATAATTTTATAAACTATATTACCAAATATGTTTCATATATTTAATATATTTTGCATTCGTTGGAATTAACAAATATGACTTAAATATAAAAGGATATTCCAAAAAAAAGCTTTAATAAATAAAAAATTGTATAAAAATAATAATAAATACATACATATATTTAATAAGTCAATAAAAATAAACATAAATACAATAAAATAAATTATGCAAAAATAGAAGAATCTAACTCCATAGGAAAGGAAACTCTTCTACAGTTTAATCTAATATTTCATATATACGCCTTCTCTCAGTGTATTGGGCGTGTGCAGGCAGGCATAAAGTATTGCCATTGCCACTGCCATTGCTGTTGTTGTTGTTGTTGTTGTAGTCTCGGTGATTATTTCGAATCAATTGCAAAAGCGTAAGAGATTTGCCGATCGATTTGCCATGGAAAGCTTTTTGCGTGTGGCTGGCAACAAAGCCAAAGCTCGCATAGCACAAAAGCTTTCGAAACCGGTTAGCGGCTCAAAAGCTAACGGCGCATGAGGTAAGCAGCGCGATCGGCGCAAAGCTGGCGCACAGAAATGAGCGTGAAGACATTGTGAACGGTTCACAGCGGACGACAGCATAATAAAAGAGAGAGAAAGCAAGTGCAGAGTTTGAGTGAAAGACAGAGAGGAAAAGAGCGAGAGAGAGCGACCGCGCGAAGCATGTGTGTGTGTGCGTGAAAGAGAGCAACAAGTTTGCAAGTGGAAATTTTAACAATAAAATGCTGTGAAACACAATAAACTCGCCTCAAACTCAAGGCAAAAGCAAAGCGAAAAAAAATCATAAAAAAGCAAATAAAATAAATTAAATAAATAAATAATTAAAAACAAAAAAGAAAATAATTAAATATGCAGCAAGCCAAGCTCAAAGAAATACAACAAAACTATTTCAACAACATTTCACATTAAAAAACGAAAAAAAAAAAAAACAAGTTAAATCAAAACAGTGAAAGAAATAGAGACAGAGAGCGCTTAGCCGTGGCGTGCTAGAGCGAGACAGTGCAAGACTTTCGCACAGATACAAAGCAGAAAAAAAAGAAAAACAAGAAAATAAATTGCAAAAACAAAAGAGATTCAAATCAACAAGTTGTTTCTCACAGTTCTAATTGACATTACACAAATAACAGATAAAACAAAGCTGAAAATATGGAGTATGAGAAAATGCTATACCAGACGAATGCGAGCGAGGTGAGTGCCTTAAAAACTATCTACACAAATAGTATCTGAGAGATGGTCTATAGAGGCAGATGTCAGGCAGACTAAAGAGAGTTGAAGCTACAGATGTATTGAAATCCAGCTGCAGCTGAGAAATTATCTATCTATCTAATATATAGTACCCATAGAGAGCTACAGATGCTTAAGTATCTATCAATTAGGCTTCATAGATAGTTACAGATACAAAAGTATCTAAGGGATAGGCTACATAAAGAGCTGCACCTACAATTACAAATGTGTCTATTAGTTACAGATACAAAAGTATCTATAAAATAGTCTATTTAAATCTTCAGCTATATACACAAAAGTATCTATTAGATGGTATTTCTGAAGGGCCTAGCTACATATGCAAAAGTATCTATTAAATGGCGTCCAAGTGCTCTCGCTACAGATTCTAAAGTATTCATAAAATAGTCCATTTAGAGCTGTAACTACATGTATAATAGCATCTATTAGAAGATCTCTCTAAAGAGTCTAGCCCTATATGCAAAAGTATCTAGTAAATGGTCTACAAGTGCTCTCGCTACAGATACAAAAGTATCGATACGCTGCTGGAGCGTGTGTTCTAGTGCGAGTGGGCGAGCTGCTCGACTGATAACCTATGCACTTGCGCTTATCAACACTGAAAATAGACAAGTGTGTGTCTGAGTATGTATGTGTGTGTGTGTATGTATTTGTGCTTATTTGTGTGTTAAAATAATTTGCGCAATTGCCCCAAAGCATATAGGCTGATAATATTTTTGGCAGTTGCTATTAGCGTTAGGCCTTTGCCTGTTGCCCCCCACATTCATACACACACACACACACACACACACACACACACACACACATAGATCGAAATTTCAGCCATCATCTGACTTTTAATTAGCAAAAGTAGCAAACAAACACACACACACACGCACTCATTTGTGTACTAAAATGTGTAGCTGTGTTTGTGGCTCTGACAGAAGGCACAAATGAGTGTCACTAGGTGAGAGTCTGCACTGCATTGCATTGTCTAGTTGTT